TGTAATGGGACTAGATAAAACGAGCGTGCAAATTTCAAGGAAGTAAATTTATTCACAAGTGATACAAATCCCATTTAAATAAAAATAGACTTTAATTCTTGGAAAATGTAACTTTGAGAACAAATTTTAATAATATTCCTCGAAATCAATTTCATCCCTGTGATGTTTTCATGTATTAAAATAAAATTATCGCGTTGTATGGTGCGAGACGCTCTGAATACCTTAACCTCACAAAGTAGCACAGGATGCTGTAAACAACCTCTTAACGACAGTAAATCGAAACCGTTTTCAGTGGCGTACCATATTCCTTTCACAACAAATCAATAGATTAAAACTCTACGTAAAAACATTCAATGTGCAGTTATTTTTATATTAAAAATAATATACGATAAATATAAAGAGGATGAAACATAAATTAACTTATACAATTACTCTTCATGTCAACAAAACTTTCATACAAATGACTGTACAATTTCTATAGAAATTGACTGTAAAAATAACTAAATAATTTTGTACATTCAAGATGCATTTATTTTTACAATATCAGTAATTTAAAAGTAAAGAAGACCCGTCATTTTGACGCAGTTCGTAAACCTAATATTGAATGCAAATTGAGAGGAATAAGAAAGAATGGATGGTGATGAACGTAATTTCATTGTCAAGTTGAGCATTTTTGGCCTAATGCCGCTCCGCCGCACCTTAGCTTTCGCTTATATCGGCAGGTGTTGAGAAATCATAGCTCCACCACCATACAAGGGTCGTGACCCGATCCAATCAGCGAGGGGAAGACATCACTTGACTCCATTGCTGCTGTAAGGAATTTTATTCTTGGTTCCGTTAATGCTATTGAATTAGAAGGCACTCAACAGACCGGAGGGAACCGGGTGATGAACGTAATACTCGATATCCGGCGAAATCCTGCATGACGAATCACATGGAACCGCGGGAAATCGTCATAGGGATGTGTCACGAGGTGTGGATCCGCCGTTCACGGGCGATCGATGTGTTTATTATTGAGAACGGAAATAAAAATAATGCGAGATGGTGCGTAGCTGACTATGACATCAGCAGGCCAATCAATCCGTTTTGCATGATGATGCATGAAGTGCATCGAATGAACGTTCGGTGAGAATATCGTTGGGATCATCTGGGTGTGGGCATTGTACACTGTGGAAATTCCTGAGCACAATTACATCGACCTTTTACCTTTTCTTCTATTTTTTTTTATGCACTTTGTCTGTTGCTTTTGGTCGACAGAATTGTGGAGTGAGTGGACGAAGGTTGGTCTGAACATTGTTGGGGTAAAAAGACAATTTATGAATTGTTGAGTTTAGCAATTCGATCCGTAGATCATTAAACGTTGTATCACCTAAATTTTCAAATTCTTGAATTCTTTAATTGCCAGATTTCTAAAATCAGCCATTTCTAAATTGCCAGTTCTCCAAATTAATGATTTCTATGTTTCTGAATTCTGTAATTCAGCGATTTCTAAATCACCAAATTCGACAAGTCAACAATTTCTAAATCCCCAAATTCACCAAGTCCTTAGTTCACAAATTCCAAACTCCGAATTCTCCAACTCCTCAATTCCTAAACCCCCAAATTCTCCAACTCGCCAATTCTTAAACCCCCAAATTCTCCAACTCGCCAATTCCAAAACCAAATCAATCAATTCACCAGGTCCCAACTTCCCAAATTCCAAACTCCGAATTCTCCAACTCACCAATTCCCAAACCCCCAAATTCTCCACTTCAATCTCCAAGTCCCTAAATTTCCCAACTCCCAAATCCTCAAACACTCAAATTCCAAATTCCCCAAATTCTAAAACCTCGAAACCCCGGAATCCAAATATTCAAATCCCCAAAATCCCAAACTCAAAACCTCACACCAACCCCTTTTCAAGTTTTCTAAAAAATTCTCTTAAAATAGAACTGAGAACTTATCACCCCATCTTCAACATATCAATAGAATACTCTCGAGTCGCAATAATTTTCTAATTAGCTCGACGTTGATAAGAAATGGAGCTGCACCCATTTAACTAGCAAGGCTCTCGATTACTAGTCAGTAGTCCCAGTGTTAATGTCTGTCCAACAATTTATACGATCTCAGCAGAAGTGATTGCAACGTGTTTGCACAGTAACAATGTTGATGTGTACATTATTGCGATTGAAGCTGTTCGGAACGCGTTGTACATGCTAAACGATCGGACAACGTATCGTTAATGTGCTCGGGCAACCACGATAAAGGCACGTCTGTGCATATCGTTGACAATACATCACGCTTGGAAACGCTTGGCCGCGAAGTGTAACGCGCAATGTCACCAACGAACGCAAGTGCATTTACGACATACAAGTGTTTGTGAACGACTGTTGAATTCGTAGGTGCACCCGGTGATCATCGTTTAAGCTTGCGTCGAATTTATGTTTCCCTGTTGAACCCTTCGCGAGGCTGACGATAAACCTTCGTTCCGCGATCGTTTCGAAAAATTTATTGGCCAATCCTCGCTTAACAACGAGCCTTAGCTACTTCCAGTGGAATGGATGTTAATAACCGTGGCGACTCGAAGGGATTGAACCCGTTCTCGATCGATTTCTTTTTCAATTTTATTGCTGTCTCCAATTAGTATTTTTACAATTGTCCTTGAACAATTTTTCAACGAAGGAATCAACTTTGAGAGCGCTGGTCTTTTAGCAACTCGAAAATTAAAAAGTCAAATGTTAACCGTGGCGACTCGAAGGGATTGAACCCGGTCTCGATCGATTTCTTTTTCAATTTTATGACCTTCTCCAATTAGTATTTTTACAATTGTCCTTGAACAATTTTTCCACTAAAGAATCAACTTTGAGAGCACTGCTCTTTTAGCAACTCGAGAATTAAAAAGTCAAATGTTAACCGTGGCGACTCGAAGGGATTCAACCCGGTCTCGATCGATTTCTTTTTCAATTTTATTGCCATCTCCGATTAGTATTTTTACAATTATCCTTGAACAATTTTTCCACAAAATAAACTTTGAGAACACTTGTCTTTTAGCAACTCGAGAATTAAAAAGATAAACGTTCACCGAAAATATATTTCGAGTTCTGTAATTTACATTTATAATTTGCAAATTACAAATGAAAAGTTGCGTAAACGAAGAATGAATAGTCGAAGGTTACATTACCATATTTATAAGAGAATCTGCATTTCCACGTAAACAATTAACCTGTGAAAGTTAATCAGGTGGTCTATTTCAGGTTGAGCGCCTTATGGGATTGATCGATATATCTTCCTCTTTTGTTTCGAAAATATAGTAGCAGGTATAATGTAGAGATACTGCTATCAATAGGGTTATCGATAAGTATCGGTAATGTCATTAAGATAACTGAAGGCGAACGATAGCTAAATATTTATCTTTATTATTAATTTAATTTTATTCAAGCTTATCTGGTAGATAACATTATCATTTAAAATCAGTTATTCTTATTTGAGAGTAGGCTATATTTAAAGGTGAAGCATGAACTTGAATGATAAGATGTATCGGGTCCAGCTAGGTATAGAACGTGAGGTAGAAAGGTTAAATATGATTAAATAAACTTGAAAGAAGTTGTGTATCAGTGATTTGAAGTTTAAACAAGAGTGAACTTGGATAACGAGATTGCGAATCGCGTTACGTTGGATTCGAAGTTAAAAGATTAAATAAACTGCAAAGATAAAGTTAGGAAGTTACGATAGGTTAGAAGAAGGATAGATCTGAATAATCTACATTAAATTAAATAAGATAAATGTTGTTAGGTAAAACTTATTAGGAGTTCAAACAAGAAAAAAGTATTATTTATCATTGAGCGCAAACAAGATATTGATAATCAGCAGTATCTTTGTACGCATAAAATAGTACATGAAGTGTAGCTGACGGAATCCGTTGATTTTCTTGTGACTGTCGACTTGGTCCTAAACACCTAGTTTCTAGCTGTCCGATCTATTCTCGCAGTTCACGAAAGCGCATCGATAACTATCTTTCAGACAACTCACGAATGTTTCTGGACCGCGTTCGACTTTGGTTACCGTTTTGCATCTATGTTTAGATCTGGTCCAGCTGACATCGATAAACTAGGACGGGTTGGAACGCTTCCGTAATAACGTGTTGTCTGTCCCGACCAAATTCCTCATCGATAATACAAAACAACGTATACCATGAATGAACCCGTCTGGCTTGATTCATATTAATTTCACGAACTACCACTGATCCGATTTACCCAGACAAATTCCTTATTCGTACTTTTGTTAGTTTATTCACGACGCGGTGCATTGGCAACCGTAGGTAATCAGTTTCGAGGAATTCATGGTAGCGACAAGGATCGAATAAATTTGAATTAACAAGGTCTGCAGGTGGGCAGCTAGGCTACCAGATTTAGATGACCAAATGGCAAATTGAGATTAGTCGTTCAGGAACGACCGTGATTCATCGTGGCGTTCCGTTCGTTCTATCGAAAAGAAACACGCATTCTCAGCCTTAGTCAGCTTGTTTCGTTTTAAATGAAGTTATTCGCTTCGTGGTGCCAGACAGGTGACAACTATCCCGAATCGGTCGGATATGCCTAATCGGATTCCGAAGATAAATGACACCCGAACGAGAACGGAGAAACATTTCGGCGAACACCAATTATCTCCTGACTTATTTCCTTACAATGATTAGAATTTGAAAAGGAAAGTGCTTGCTAACAACTGTGGGTATAATTAATTATTCATGACACGTGTCTTCAAACGTGTTTTATTTTACAAGAGTTAGGTATTTATTGATGCCGTCTAAAGTAAACTCGCATTATCGCTCTGGTTCATCTGTCAGTACATCTGTCTACATCCCAAAAGACTATGGTAGTTGTCACAGTAGTAAATTTTAATATTTGAGACTCTTTCTAATGAACTTTTCTTCCGAAACTCTTTTGATCGAATTTTAATTTAAATCGTCTTCAACTTAACCAGTGAGTATACAGTTAGTTAATAGTTATGTCTTCTGCTTCCAGATGTGGCAGTTAAGGTTTTGGACGTACCTTCTGCTGATAGCGTTATCGCTAGCACCAGTGCAGAGGGTTATAGCGTGTTCTTGCATGAGGAGTCATCCACAGACTCTATTTTGCAATTCAGATTTCGGTAAGCGATTGCATTAATAATCGAGCAACACTCGATTCATCTAATCTCTCTGTTCATGACTATTTATTAATCTTTCCTCGCAGTTGCCTTGGTCCGAGTGAAGAAGGTGTTTCCTTCGAACGAGCATGCGATTGGATATAATGTGAAAACCAGTAAAATTTTCAAGGTTGGTACATCGATCGCAAAAGTTATTGCTTTTAATCCTACCACTGCTTCTCGGTCATTATAACAATATTGATTTACTATGCATTTTGTATAAAAGCAAAACATGAACTTTACATATTATATGTGTATTTTGAAGTCCTTAAGTCCTTATATTTCTGAACCGACTACATTTTTTAATCTGTCTACGAAGTAACTGTAAAAAGTTACTGTAATGTACACAAATGTCAAGGTGTAATATAAATAATTTTCCTAACAGGTAAACAGTTCGAAGTCGTATCACGCTCTGAAGAAAAATATCCTGTGGACGCCATCTTCAGACGGCATGTGCGGGGTACATCTTGAAATCGGAGAAACATACGTCGTAAGCGGAAGTACGATGGGTGATCGAGCACGTATATCGATCTGTGGTTTATCGATGCAATGGAGAACGGTACCAAGCAGACAAAGGAAAGCTTTCAAGGAACTGTACCGTCACGGTTGCAACTGCAGCGTAAGTGAACAATTGCAATCAAATGCGTCGATACGAGACTCTACTATAACATTGCAACATCTCGGCACTTAGCATCAGGCTTATCTAATCATCATTACCGAAGGAATAAATCGAATTAACCTGCTTCACAAATTCTTTTCGAAATAATCCTTTGAACGTTCATCGCGAGTTAACCACTTGACCTATCATTTCTTCAGCAGTTGCGTCACAGCTAATTATCGCAATATCATTACAGCAATATTGCAGAAAATTATTGCGGACAAATAATGATAATTGAAATCTTAGGTATAGTTTGAACTTAGGTGTCTTTGATTATGTAATTGGTATTAAACTCTCTGAATATAATTTCAATCTGTCGTGAAATGTGCGTCACCAGTGACGGTATTACAAGTCAAAGGGTTACAGATTTGAATATGAATTGTTTAGAACTAGTTTATGATTTGTGTCTTTGATGTTTCAGATTCATTACACTCCATGGTGGTACAAGGGTGCAGTTCTAGCGAACGTGGGAGGCAAAGAGTGTCTATGGGAGAGCAAACCCGGCCCTGAAGATTGCCAAAGAGAATACGGCGTGTGCAAGGCTGGTTCTGGCGGGTGTTCATGGGTCCCTTCCGTGCCTTACAAGAACTGCATCAAAGAGCATCAACAGAAACGCGAACAGCAACGGGCACGAGAACCTTAAAGAATATCTCTGCTCCGACGCACGCGAGAGTTCTACGACGTTGCCAGCATCAGCACGCTTTGCGAAACTTTGCGATCATCGTTTTCTTGCGTGAGAAAACTCTTGTGGAACGCGAACTGTCGTGGTCACGCGTTGAGAAATCAATGCTAGTTTCGATGAACTTTCTTCCCTTTAAATTAGTTTTAACATCCTGTTGGGACGAATTTTTGGGATGTAGCATTCATATATCGTCGAAATCTTTCCAACTTGGAGAAATTTCGTGTTTCGAATAATGTATGAATTTGATCGGAGGGTGAATAAAAAATTAGTTAGGCATAATTGAGCCTGAAAAATCATAATAATTTATTGGATCGAATTCGATTTAGGGGAAAAGCTTTGCGGCATAAAAAACCTTGCAATATATTGCAAGTTCGTTGATTGAACGGTGAAAGTGTGAACGATGTATATGTATCTTGTTGAATACGATTGTTTGATTTTATTCGAGGAGTGTAGGGTCCCACTCGAATAGCGTTACGATATGTGTTTGATACCACCCTGGTTACAATTGAAAATTGAGTTATTGGGAAAATTGGAATACTTAAAGATGTGAGAATTTATGAGTTTCTCAGATTCGAAGATTTAAGAGTTTGGGAATCTTGAAGTCCCCGTCACTGCACGCGCCAGTACTCGATGTCTACCGAGCAAAGTTGACCATCATTTATTTAATGCAATATAATCCGACGAATTCTTGGAACTGTTTACATTACCATAATAAGTTATTTCGAGATCACTAGCATCGCGTTTGTGTCGTCGAATCTTTCGCGTTCAATTAATCACCCTACTTACTATTCATCCTTCAAATTGTCTTCCTACCGCACTCGAATAATCGAGAACATCGAGCGAACCTTATTCAATGTTTTATTTATTCGCGTCGTGAAGATAGCTGCTCGCGAAAGGAGTTCAGTCCGTATCGATTCAGAATTGTACGAGAAGAATCGATGCTGTTAACCTCGTTCGATTTTTAACGAAATCATTCGGCGAGCTCGGCCACAATGTAAATCGACTGAATCTCGTGAAGCATGAAGCAGCGAGCGTATTCGATTATCGATTGGCCATCCCTTTAGTTGTACATATTAGGCTACTCATGTATATTATGCATTTTTAAATTATTCTCATGTTTATTTCGTAGTATCGTCTCGTCTATATGTATGAAACTGCGTGAAGGATATGTTTGAACTTCAGTTTCTAAGAGTCTGCGAATCATCGAAATCTAACAACAATTGTGATACGGTCGAATATTTAACTTATCGAGATAATAATTGATCAGGTTTCTTTGCAAAAAATTGTCTCATCAGGAATATCATCCAAAGTCTGAGCAGTCGCTTTCGAAACATAACTACAGTTATTTCAGCTGATCGATCGTACACCTTCTTCGAACAAGATAATAAATTGATCTGGATTCAGATCAGGTTCTTAAATTGTTTTGCATCTTGATGACAGCGAGCGCTCACATTTTGAATGACATTCTTTAGCAATGAAGAAACCTTAATTCAGGGTAGAACTTTAGTACAAAAAATCGAAAATTAATCAACTAGTGTTCGCATTTCCTATCACGAGAACCCGCGTAGCACGAGACGATGTATATTTAGTTGATAGTTCTTCCATTTGATAATTTTTGTAAGTATCGCAACACGGGAAATAAACGAGAAACGCATGGTCGTTCTTTCAGTAAGCACACAAAAGATTACACTTATTTCGTTACTCACCATTTCGCGATGATTGGGATAGAAAGTCTGCTCGATCAACGGGAAATTGTCTTTGCCCAGACGGCGCTGAAGACCAAGCAGATGCGCGAACACCCAAGGTTTATCCTGAAATAAGAACAATGATTAAGAAACTTCACTCATGAGGCACGGAAACTTTTAATCGCTGTTCCACTTTGAACTTTGTTAGGGACCTCTTACCTGGAAGTTGTAGATTGCCGTGAGATTGTTAACGCTTGGTATACCGCCGTACATTAAACCGAGAAGAAGGTTCTTGTAGTCCTCTCCCGCGTCCCTCAGGTTCTGTCGTATCAGGACGAAATCAGGCTTGAAGGATCTGTGGGTGAAATTTTATTTGCTCGGATCAATTATGTGAAGTTGAAAATCTGCCACAGTAGGTTTAAATACAGTAGATTCCCGTTATATTGCCGTTTCAGAATTTCAATAGTCGATGAAATTCATCATCTCTTTGAACGATGATCGCCACAAGTTTTATGGAACATTATGACATGTTAAAAATACAGATAGCAACGTGTATGGCGAAAAGCTGTGACAATACGTGTTAGATCGCATGAGTTGATCACACATTAGATCACTGCGTACGGTCACGTGATGGGCAGTCATGCGTTACATTCCACGCATCGTATTCTTTTAGGGTTGTATTCGCGACATGTTGCATTTACATGTATTGTATTTTCTATGCGTTGTGTGTACGTTGTATTTTTCACGCGTTGTGTTTTCGTCACATTGTGTTCTCCACGTGTAGTCTCCATACGTAGTATTTTCGTACATCATGAATCATCGCGATGATTTTACCCAAGTTGCAGCTTAAATTCATTTTTTATATTAAATAATGAACCTTGCAAATTTTGTTTGAATGCTAATTAATAATAATCTTGTGGTAATAACTATATCTTACCTGATGACTTTGGTCCCGTTACGATAAACTGCCATGGACACAACAGTACCAGTCTCGCTAGCTGTCAACGACAATTCCCGAAATTCCGCCTGTTCAACGCGAATCTCGTAATCGCCATGAAGCCTACGACCCCGGAAATACTTGCTCCAGTCCGTATTCTGGTCGTCGATTACTAGCAAGGTGAAGCATCGATCTTTGTTGTACGACGGCCCTCTCGTTGCACCGGACACTGCCGCTCCCAAGATGGAGGCACCCTAATCATTTAAACCACGTTAAATGACATAAAATTACAAACTCAAATACTTGTGAATATAGCTCTTTTTAAATTATCAACTTTCCAAATTTCTGAAAATATTTGCAAATCTGAAAGTCCCTGAACATCCAAATTTGAAAGTTCTCAATTTGTAAAATTTGAAAATGCTAAGGGCTCGATAAGATGTAAAATATGCTAAATTTTTGAATTGGAGTTTACCTGATCGCGAGCAGCCCCGGTCAAGCTCTGCACCCGTTGCAGCAAGCTCTCCCTGGTCTTAGCGGGTGAAGAGGGTGCGCTGGTGGTTCTGGACCCAGGCCTGAGATTCAGACTCAGGTCGCCTCCAGCCGGTTGGGTGGCACTCGGAGGAGGTGCTCCAGGTACCGGTGGTTGGCTAGCGGGTGGTACCGGTGTCGGTTGGGACTGCAGAGGTCGATCTGGCACCCCTTGATACGATTGGGACGAATCCCTGGCCATGGAGGCCAGCCCGGAGTCTGTGCTTGGTTCATCGTCGAGCTCCGAGCTCAAATCCCCTGACGAGAACCTGGAAGACAAGCTATGGTGGTGGTCGTGATAGTGACAATCGGTCGTTTCGTCCCCCGATTTCACGCTTTTTTTATTGCCGGCACTTTCAATGCACATCGAACAACAGCCAGTGCTCAGGGTATGGCATGGACATGGCGTTGGCGATGATGGCGATTGCTGGTTTTGCATGCGTGACACGAACGATGACACATTCGCTTCTCTGAGCAGCAGTTGCTCGGACATTTAGTTGATCGCGGTGCCTTCGCGTGAAACGTGGGCCGACGACTGTTCGTGCTCTATGGGATGAGGTGACGAATTTCCACGGCAAAACGCTCTCATATCTGATTGCCGACAAATGGGTTTCGATGAATCGCAGCGGGGATGCTTTTCGATAAAGCTTTAGGGGTAGCGTCCATAAACGTTCCAACGAATCGTTGATTTCGATGATAAGAAATGTACCTCTTCTAAGGTTTCTCGAGCTCTGAATTGTCGAGAATATTCAGGCAGAATTTGCACGATGCCAAAAGCGGTTTCTCCATTGACTCATGCATACACCAAGACTTATGAAACTAGGGAAAAACATCGAGATATTTGTAATAAAAAAATGTTTAATTATGTACGCTCTGGAATGACCACTCAGCGAAACGAGAATCTCGATCGTCGTTGATCCTGCTTTAATTAAGAAATCAGGTAGCCACTTCGCGTTAATTGAATCGGACAACTTATCGTCTATGATATCGCGGGGTGCATCGCGTGACAGAATGTGGACACGAGTTGGACCAATTTTGTATCAAGATAGCCGGTCATTATTTTACACTGCTGTTACGTCGCTCAATAACCGGATTCGATGAAAAGAGCTCCGACAAACACGAGCTTTCACCGGTACAACGACCCGAAACTCTATGCCCCTCGGTGCTACTGTGCATATATATTCGCCGGCTTTTATATCTCGGAACGACCCGATTCACAAGAAAAAAGGCGACAATTTTTGCCACGAAAACGTTAATCTTTTACGGAACAGAGTACATCGGGATTCGAGAAACACGGTAATCTGAACGTTGCACGACTAAAAATACTGCGACCTCTTAATTACCGTGAAAGCTATTTTTACCGCGATAACAATCAATTAAGGGATTAATCTTTTTCATTCTGGCAATAACCTCATTGAACAGTTTTTCGATATTAATTAACTCCGAGTTAAGCGTTTTACGTTTATTTGTTGTTCAATAATTTATTTAACATTCGTTTAGTTTTATGGAGAGACTTATTTATTTATTGAATATTTATGTATATGAACAGATTAGTATCAGTTGAATTTTAAAATTAATGAAGTTTTTATGGAAATGCGAGTATTTTTAGACAAGGGATCAAAAAATGAGAAAATATGGTAGAGGGGTATTGATTTTAGTTTACTTTAATAAGAAATTGTTTTTCTTCAGATATTTTATTTTTTGTTAGCCACGTGTAATACTTACACAGAGTACAGAATTCCAATCGAACTGTGTCATAGATTATAATTACTCAGTAATTCGGAAACATCGTACTCGATTACATTTGAATTGATGATTCAGATTTCTCGTTTTGTTAAATTAATGCAACTCGCGTTTTAATTGAAGTGCGATTGAAACTTAATTGAAACGGTATAAGAGGGTGAACGTAACAAATTCTAACAGAAAAGGATTATCAGCGGTGAATAGTATTATTCGTAAATTCATATCCCAACAGGAATTAACGTAATTTCAATACATTCAGAAGTACCATAATTAATAATTTAGGTAGTCAAAATGGTTTGATTACCTAATTCAATTACGGATTGAATTACATAGTTAAAATTCAAGGTAGTTAATTAATTTACGAGAGTTAGTTGAGGTAATTAATGTTACAGTGTAATTCAATTAGCGCAACTGTGTAAATCTTTCTTTGGGCAAAATTGGGATACCTGCTTTAAATGTGGTAAATAATCGTTGAATGAATAATAAATGCAACTTGTAAGTTTGCAACTTTTCGGAGCTGGAAATTTAGAATTTCACAAATTATCAAAAATGGGAATTTCAAAATTTAATAATTTATATGCTTAAGAATTTAGAGGTATAGGAATTTGTGAAAAGTTAAAAGTTTGATCATTTCCAAGTTTGAAAATTTGGAGAAATTGAGTTGGAAAATTGGGGATTAGGGATATTGGTAAATTGGAGATTAGGGAAACTGAAAGATTGGTAATTCCAGAGTTTGAGGAAATGGGATTTTGCGAAATTGGAATGTAAGAACTGTGGATATTCGGAAATTGGGGATTTTAGAAATTGAGAAATTAGGAAATTGTGGAATTGGAGATTTTGGGAATAGGGAAATTGGCAATTTGAGGTGTTGGAAATTAGGAAATTGGGGAATTGGAGATTGGGGAAGTTGAGAAATTGCAGATTGAGAAATTTGGGACATTGACAATTTGGGAATATGAGAAATTGAGAAATTGGGAAAATGGGAAATTGGGCAAATGGGAAATTTGAAATTGAGAAATTGGGAAATTGGGAAATTGGGAAATTGGGAAATTGGGAAATTGGAAAATTGGAAATTTGGGAAATTGAGAAACTGGGAAACTGGGAATTTGGGAATTTGGGAATTTGGGAAATTAGAGAATTTGAAATTGGTAAAGCGCAAAATTGGAAATTGGAAAATTGGAAATTAAAAAATTAGAAAATTGTAAAATTAGGAAATTGATAAATTGAAGATTATAAAACTTGAAAACAAGGCATCCAAGAAAAAAATGTCCTACCACGTAACTCCAAAAATGAGTAAGTTACCAAAATCAGTCTCCACAAATAAAAAATTGAAGAAAAGTGACGAGATATTTCCGTGACCTATTCATAGCGTCCCCCAGTTATCGATTATTATCGGCTATTCTATTCTTCTATTCGAACAAATCAGTCTGGTCCATGCATAAAAAGAAGTTCGCAGTCGGTGGAAGCACTCACCTCCGTTTCAGGTAGTTAACATTGGAGGTGAAGGACTGTCGAAAGCTGGAGAATGAAATGTTGCCGGGTGAAGGAGCTGTACCACAATATTTGGCGCACCCGCCGCGGCCTGTAATCTTGCTGGTTAAAGCCGACTTCGTCCTTCCGACGAAAACCGTGGAATCCTTGCTGTTTCCTGTCGATCGCTAACGGACGATACTGTCCCCTTCCTGTTCTCTAGGTTACACTACCAAGGGGTTCGGAAATGGAGCCTTTAAATATCGCTCAACGATCTCGATGTTGCGTCCGTTGCGGAGTCTTCGGAATAACGCTTGAAACGTAAGGTAACCCGAAAGGAAAGGATGAAATAAGAGAGGTGAGAAAGGAGAAACTAAATAATCCAAGTTGAAATCTGCAAAAAGAAGGGAAACATCGGTGAATCAACGAGCGTGACGCTAGATTTTCTTCAATACTAACATTACACCCGTTCGGTCACGTAACACTGCGTTATTGTTACGAGGCGCTATTAAATATGCATTTGATGAAAGCATTGCGAAACTGCAAAGGGTGAGATAAGAAATTAGGTTTCTAGAACGACACCTGATGTGTTGATTGCACCTTTCTCCCTAATATGTCTGCTACGGGTCATTCTACGGGCTTCGTGAAAGCTTTTGGACCTTTCATATCTTTGTGTCGCTTTGTTATTGTCACATGCGAGGAACTTTGGAACAATGAAAATTTACTGGGTGTTAAATATAAAATTGCAGAAGATTTATTAAAAATTAATAAAATTGGACAATAAATATCTTTACCCAAGTTTTATATCAATTTTATCAAAGTCGGAATAAAGTTCATAGAACATAAATTTTTTTATTAAACAAAAGGTTTTGAACTTGCCTTAACTACTCTCCTATCAAGTTAAAGATATATATTATCACTAAAGAGAATAAATGTGTAATTAATTGTATCAGTCGAATTTATAAAAATTTTAAGTAATAGAACCTCCAATAGTAAAAAAGATTTCATTCAAAGATTTTAATAGTAAAGAAAAGTCCAACTTGTAAAGAAGTTGACTTTAATCCATTGTTCTCCAAATATTCTCTAAAATTAGATTTCTAATTTCTTGATGTAGCGTGTGATGCTCGAGATAAAAACGTCCGAGCGAAAGCTCAAAGTACTCGAGATGCAGGTAGAAATTTAGCACGGCAAAAGTAGAGCTTGATACCTTACTGATCGATACCGTACAACGTGACTTTACATGCTACAGAATTTTTTACACGGGTTGTGTGTTTTGCTCGACTACCACGGAACAGTGATTTCAGCCACCCTCGAATATCGAATCGCGATAAAGACCAGAGATAACGAGTTATTGGCTCGTGGCTGCTCTGCAAAAGGGTACCGATTGTTTTCGTGGATGAAAAGAAGAAAAAGGCGTAATTGACTTGCACGGTAGAGGGAAAATCCAGTCCGTGTTCTTTGAAGTTGAAAAACGCGACACGCAACCCCGTGATCGTGATGCGAGGTCAATTAACGAAGATTAATACTTTGAGTGCTTTTGTATCGGTGATAAACTTTTCCGAGCACCGATTTACTGATAACTTTATAATTAACCCCTTGTCGATGCGTGAAAAAATAATATTTTTCCTCGAGGGTAGTTTTGTGTTGATAAAATTATTCTTTGAGAGTGAGATAATAGATGTTCATGCAAATTTTTGAATATAGACGTTTGTTATATTATCAGCAGTGTATAGCGATACAAAGGTGATGTAATGTACAAGGGACACAATGGGAGAAATTTTATGTGTGAAGATCTAACGTGTGAAGAATATGATGTGATATTATAATAACAGAGATTACAATGTATAGAATAAATGACTGGGGAGTACAATACGTTGGGACAACACGTGGAAAGTACAATGTGTGGAAAATACAATGAGCAGCGGTTACAGAATGTAGAGAATGTAGTGGGTAGAGAATACAACATGTGGGGAATGTGACACGTAGAAAATACAATATGTGGAATGTACAATGTGTGGAGAATACAATGTATGGGGAATGCAACGCGTAGAGTGTACAACGCATGGAAAATGCAACGCGTAGAAAGTACAACACGTAGGAAGTAGAACGCATAGAGAATGCAATGCGTAGAGAACTCAACGCGTGGAGAACAACGTGTAGAAAATATAACGCGTAGAGGTTACAACGCATAGAGAGTACAACGCGTAGAGAGTGTAACGCGTGGAGAAATCAACGCGTTGAAAACTCAACGCGTAGAGAACTCAACGCGTGGAGAACTCAACGTGTGGAGAACACAACACGTGAAAATATAACGCGTAGAGGTTACGACGCATAGAGAATACAACGCATAGAGAGTATAAAGCGTAGAAAATACAACACGTAGAGAACTCAACGTGTGAAAAACACAGCGCGTGGAAAAAATAACGCATAGACGTTACAACGCATAGAGAACACAACGCGTAGAAAGTGCAACGCGTAGAAAATATAACGCGTGGAGAACTCGACACGTGGAAAACACAACGCATGGGAAATATAATGCATAGAGCACCCAACGCGTAAAAAGTATAACGCATAGAAAATTCGACGAGTGTAGAACACAACGCG